GTCGTTATTTTAATATTATTATTGTGTTGCTAAGTTAAAATGAAGAATTATCCAAGAGAAGAGCGTATTGACTTGATGACGATGATTTTCACCCTTGGAGAATCTCATAAAAATTGTTTATTGGCTTCTCGAGTTTATGCCCAAAAGTTTCCTGAAAGAAATGATCCTAAGCCAACAGTTTTTAAGCGCTTATTACACCAATTTGAGGAAACTGGGAGTGTCAATTATACCCATTACAATGAAATCGGTCACTGCAGATGAAGAAAATGTTTTCGCGGTAATTGCTTCAGTTATAGAAAATCCCAATGTTAGTCAAAATCTAATATCCAAAAGTACTAACATTAGTCAATCAAGTATTTCCAGAATTATCAAAAAGCACAACTTTTATCCTTATAAAATTCAGCTTTGCCAAGAACTTTATGGAAATGATTTTGAAAACCGAAGTGAGTTTTGCATGTGGGTGTTAGATAAAGCGGCAGAAAATGAAAAGTTTTTCGAAAATGTGTTATTTAGGGATGAATGTACTTTTCATAACTATGGTCTCGTGAATAGACACAACTTTCATTATTAATCTGATACGAATCCGCGCGCATACAGGGTCATGAAAAATCAAAAAGGTGGTCAGTTAATGTGTGGGGTGGAATACTGGGCCAATCTTTAATTGGACCCTATTTTTGTGAAGGTCATCTAAATGGTTTGATGTTTCTTCAGTTTCTATTAAACCATCTCTCCATATTATTAGAAGAAGTCCCTTTCAATATTAGAACCAACATGTGGCTTCAATTGGATGGAGGAGCTCCGTCTCATAATCACTGCGAAGTTCGGCAATTTTTAAATGCCAACTTTCAAAACAGGTGGATTGGCAGCAATGGGTTTGAAAATTGGCCCCCCAGATCTCCGGGCTTAACTCCACTAGATTTCTTTTTGTGGGTTACATAAAAGGAATTGTCTACCATACGCTTCCGACAACTTCACACGATCTGAAAACACGCATAAGAGAGGCTTTTAAAACTGTAACTCCGCAAATGTTGTCAGTTGAGTTAGCAGTTGTTTTGAAAAATAAATTTACAAGTGCCTGGAAATGGACGGTCAACATTTCGAACATTTGTTATAAATAATTTGCCTTTGTTTTATGTTGTTGTTAATATGTTATTTAACCTTTTAATAAAAAAACACCAAATGGTGCACAGAACCATTATTTGGTGTATTTTGTAAAAAGGCAAAAACTTAGTTATAAACATCCTGGTATCATTCGATAGGTAATTAAAAATTGCATTTCCTCGTAAGCTAAAAAATTTGGGGTTGCATTTAAATTAATCAAGTTATAGCCACTTAAAGTTCTTATTTGATTAGTTTAAATTTGTGGACACCCTGTATAAAATGGTAAGTTTATTATTATTGGAATATAAAATAAGATTTCTTGTTACACTACACTACGAATTACGTTTACATAACTTAGATAATTCTAAAGTATTTGGCACATTAAAATAATATTAGATTTTGATAATTCGAATTATTTAAAAAACCTTTAGATTTAGACATTATAAATCTTATTAAAACAAACGCTTATTTTGCTCAGAGAATCCAAAAATGCAATAATATATAGGGTATTTCATTTAGAAAAACAGAACTTTGATACTTTTAGGGCTTTTGGGACAGTCTGTACATTACAAAAATATTTTTAAAATGTGCACCCGATAGGCGCCAGTGGATTCATAAAATAATACTTTGCAAAAAACAAACGGGCTAGCCGCAAACGTCCGTGCCGTATAGCGTGAATAACCCTGTTTAACTATAACTTAATATAATTTTCCTGTTTTTCCAGATCCGAGGCAATGGACCAGAGAAGACGTAAATCACTGGTTGACTCACATGATCACCATCCACAGCCTTCCAGAAGTTCCATCGTCCAGGTTCCTGATGAATGGAAAGGCGCTTTGTTTGATGTCCCCAAATATGTTCCTCACCAGAGTGCCCCTGGGGGGCAAACTCCTTTACAAAGACTTTCAGCTGAGGCTGAGCGCAGCTATGTATTCCTGTAACTAGATTTAGATGCCCGAGGACTTATTTATTACACTATTAGGGTTGAACGCGATTGGAAGACCTCCAAGTGCTGTTACCGCGGGTTGAATTAGCGCTTGAATGTTGAGAACATTTGACTCAAAGTTACTACACTTAATTTAGGAGTTTGAATGGCAGCTGTTTAAATTGGAATGAGTTGAGACAATTGAAGAGCCGCTTAAGACCGAATAGGTAGACTGATTTATTACGTTTAGATGTATAGATAGATCAAATTTGTATATTTTGCTAGTCATGTACATATATTGTGGTTATTTAATTTTTAGAGATTTTGTAATATATTTTTTGAATAATTTTTCGTAGAAATAATGCAAATTCAATTGAAAACCCGTTTTTTTCTTCACCCCATTGCTACCAATTCACCAGCGCTAAAAACCGATTTTACTTAATTAAATTAAAATCAGTATTATAATAAAGATTGAAAAAACGTTTTTTTTTTAAACAAATTTATTTCATTTTCCAATAGAACTATGTATTCATATTTACAAGGATAATGCAACCCAACCAATGACAATAGAGTATTTAAGTTATTTAACCAAAGTTAAATAAACATGCTTCGAAACAATGTAACAAATGATTTGTAATGTTGAATAAAATTAAAAAATGCAAACTTTCGGCTTCGAGCTTCCGGTTTTAACTTAACTTAACCAACTGGAAAAACTATCCGTAGTTGCAGGTAGGTACTTGTTAAAGAAACTTGCCCCTATTTTAAGCAAGGCAATTATCAAGAACAGCAGATCCTGGCGTGAGCGTTTACAAACTACTTAACGCAATTATCAAAAACACACAGCTCATCTTATGGAGAATCCCTGAACCAACAACTGTTATCGATAGTGTTTTTTGCGAAAACGCATTTTTCGGTCACTTTTCAGTTCTCAAGTGCTTTTCAACAAAATTTCAAATAAAAATGATCTCCTTGGTTAGTGATGTAAGGATTATATATCTATCGTAGTAAGTATAAACTGAAGCACACTTTTAACAAATGAACATATTTACATACAGCGTTGCACTTTCTTAAAAAAGGAATGATCCTGTTTACCTGAAAAGCTTCAAATAAACAAAATAATTTGAATTTCGAAAAATTTCAAAATCCTCAAATATACAGGGAGACCCAAACTTCACCAACGTGTATCACTTTAACCGCATGCATCTTTAATGGCATTAGCAAGCAACCCGCTGATCAGGGTAACATTAGTTTTAATTCAATAATTTCCAGATTTGAGCGTCTCACTCACTAATGATTGTTTTGCGTAGAAAATTTTGCTCTCCGAATTAAATTTTCACATATCACACGCTCATAATATGGCTATAAATGTTTGTGACATTAATGAACTATACTGAAAATAATTTAATATTTATCACCCTGTCAGCAGTAGTTTAATCTATTCTTGGTGAACTTAAATCGCTCTGTACATGGAGGTTTAACCCTTTTCTAAAGCTTCCATGGTGTTTTTTTTCTATAAAAAAGTACGCATTCTTCAAGTCAAAAAGGCGTATTTTAGGTAGGCAATTGATTAGTAGATTTCCAAAGCAACAATTGGCCTTCCTTTATATAAAGTAAATTAAATATTCGCGATTTTATCTGCCTAAGTTACATTACCTTAACTATTTTATTCGGACTTAATACATTCCTTCTTTGATATAACAAGACACATTTGTTTCAATTGTAACTTAACATTTGTGTGAATTGATTTGAAAAGCGCCCAAAAACACACTAAATTAAATATAAAAATCATACAATCACGGCTTAACGGCACTAACGTGCCTTACTTTCCGCGATAAGCAAACAAAATATATGCGACGAAACATTTGCTTCGCAAACTACGGATTATTAATAAAACCTGAAAATTGTTTCATTTCAAATTAAATTACACTCTACATTTAATATAATACATAGTTAACTTTTAACTAATTGCCATTCTACTAAAGCAACTTTTATGTACAAAACAAGGTAAAGCTATGGAGCATGTTTTTGTTTAATTTGGCCATAAACTAGTTTCAGCTCGCCATAAAAACCATATCACTTATAACCATTATAACATGGCATTTTATGCATATTGATACACTTGTTATTAAATATTTTACAGGATGTGCTTTTAAAACACGTAAATGAGGCATGTAAATAGTAATTTTCTGTCGAAGATAATGCTGAGCCACCTTTTCACAAAAACACTTTGAAATCAGACTCAAATGTTTGAAACTGAACCAAGGTTTCTTGTTGCCTTCATCGAAAGGAATTAAAGTAGAAAAACGAATAAACTAAACACACATTCTACACTAAATAGTCGTTTTGGAAGTGATTTCTAGATTCCTACTCAAGAATCTCTTCACATACTGCTTAATTTCATCCTCATCTAAAAAAAAATGTGATTCAATCCAAATTGGAAAAAACTTGGTTGGAATAAAAGGAACGTACCTTTATTAGCTAGAAAATGCGATATTTTCCTGGCCATTGATTTGAATATGTCTCTGGACTCAAATCTCTTATCAACATAAGCTGGAGTCAGTAGTTTCACAACCAACAAACCAATCTCAGTCTTCCGTAACTTGGGTTTTTCCTTTTTCGTAACTGCACTTGAACTGGTACTTTGCCCATTGTGCTGTGAAACTTTCTGCTCTTGCTCAGTCTGTATTACCAACTTCGGACTGGCATCTTTAACAGGAGTTGATTTATTACTAACAGTCTGGTTACTGTTCTTATCAACTAGTTCCGAAATATCGTTATTTGATGTGTGGTCTGAATTAGCAACGATCTCCTTATTTTCTTTAGCTATCGGAGTATTGTCAAGCATGTTTTTATCAGGTAACTCGTTTGTCAAACTTTCATCAATATTAGTATTTATCACTTTAGAAGCAGCTGTTTCGTCCACTGTGACTCCGTCTTTCATTCCAGGTGATGCATTTTTATTGATGTGGTTGTGACTGTTGTGATCTGGACCGTGATGGTAAGTTCTATCGTTTAACCTATTTTCATGTAGTTCTTCATTGGGTTGAGCAGGATATTCTCCGTCAATTTTTCCATTATTTGCTGCGTCATGTTTGCCGTTTTCTCTAGCCAATCTGTAAAACGACGACCAAAATAAACCCCCAAACTGTGAAATTTAATCCAGTACTTTACCTATCGTTATGATTTTCTTGCAATCGGTCTTCCCTTTCCCTGTGCTGCGGCCTTCTTTTTCTGTCCTCATCGCGGTCTGCTTCTGGACTGTGACGTCGCTTTTGCTCACTTTTCGATCTATCATGACCTTTCCTTTCTGTATTATTTCTGCTATATCTATCTTCTCTGTGCCTATCGCCTTTTTTTCTATCATTTGGACTTCTATCTCTCCTCTTGCTTCCTGTATGCCGGTCCCTATCCTCTCTTGAATGCTCAACGTCTTTTCTTCTATCTTGCCTGTGCGTACTACTTGAGCGTTCCCTACTTCTTCTATTTGGCTCTGATTTGTCCATTTCCATTTTAGGGCTGGCAGCCTCATCATCAGACTCCCCAAACAATGTCGTTAGGTTATTCGGCTTACTCATTATCTCTTGCAGCTCCTTTTTAAGTTCGATTGAGGCACTTTGTTGTCTTAATAAATCGCCAGCAGTTTGAAAGCCTACATTTGAGCGAACACGGATGCTCTCAGTAAGTGGCTCGTTTACCTTAAGAACGTCCGGTTCGGTGTGATTCTGACTAGATGTACACAGCCCGGAAGCAGCTTCATTCAACAAGCTTTTAGCAGTTCTAAATGGGGGTTTGCTACCGCCCAGTTGTTTCTCCTTCTGGATATTCCTGAACAAATCTGTCAGTGTTTCGTATTTAGCCGGTTTTGGCTGAAAATTCTCGAGTTTATCATACACCGATTTGTTCGTTGTACATTTCTTGATATTAGATATCTGCAAAAGGTAAAACTAAAATAAGCAAAATCCTCAAATCCAAATCTAAAAATAACTAGGTTAAAACTCTGGTGTGGTGTTTAATAAACGATTCACAATTTGCCTTGGTATGATAAGAGAATATATAAAGTTACCTTCACAATATTTGGCGGTTTTCACAACTAAAAGCACTGAATATTTGAAGAAAATAGAACTTTGTGGAGTGCATAGAAAGTTGACACCATGTTGATACTTTCTTAAATGACATTATTGACATGAACGAATTATCGGATTTGACACAAAATATTGTGGATCTGACTATATGCAACGAATGTATTTTTAAGCGATTTCAAAATATAGTCCGGAGTGTATCAACTACATGTAGTGACGTCAGTTTCGAGTAACTGTGACAATGTTATATCTTCTTGCACAGAACCCCCACACCAAGTATTTATTTAAACATACGCAAAAATAAAAATTGGCAGGTGTTTTGAATAATTTAAATTAATTTAAAAAATAATTTAGAATTAAAAAAAATGCAATTTATAATGGCAGAAAAATGAACGAACTTAACTCTTGGAAAAGTAGTTCATCTATTAATATTAAATCTAATACTAATTAAAATGCCTTGTAACGAAATTAGGTACGTAAACCCATTTGGTACGCGCTAGATATCGTCAGTTACAATTTAGACCAAAAAACGTAACAGAAACGTAAACATAATTCCACTAAAAATTAGGAAAAAAGTATAGACCCCTTAAACTCGGTCACAGGTGTAGACGAATAGGAAAATCTCTCTTTAAACAACAAATTCAGCTGAATATTTCAAAAGTAGATTTGAATGGAAACACAATCACTCACCAGTTTAGCTAATCCATTTCTATAGATCGTCATTGTTGTAGTGGAACTAAAAACCTCATACTCAAGCTCTATGCTGCAATCTTCGATATCTTTTTTATCCAACGACTGATCTGCAACACATTCCGTATAATTAGCATAGAGAGTGTCCAGTATCTTTGAAAGATATTGCTCTCTTATGCCTAAAGTCAGACCCTTGACTTTGCTGGACGACGAGGCTGCCGCTTGAACTCTGGCATGTTTTGAAAACAGTTTCTCTATCGTTTGATGGGAAACTTCCTAAGTCAATGTCGTTGATGAATAACAGAAATTAATTATCAATCAAGGAAATTACCTGCGGATTTCTCCTCAAAGCGAGCTGCTTTTGAATAAAATCGTTGGAAGCTTTTTTGGCCAACTGCTCTCTTTGCATAGCCGAGTAGGCACCATCGCCATCACTATCACTGTCCTGTCCGCTCCTCGCCCTGGTTTCACTAGAACATATTTTTCCGTTGAATTCTAAGTCCAGCGCTAAGTTTACAGACCTCACTCGTTAATGCCCTTTCTACCTTCTCCATATAAGTCCCCATAGTCCATGTCATTGTAAGAACTAATGTGAGTATTATACTGTACGCTCTTAATTAAAAACGTTTCTACCATTTCCTTTACAGACTTTTTATCTTTGCACCAATCGCAGTTCTTCTTGCATTTCGGAGGAGGTTCTTCAAAGTGATTAGAAAACAATACGTGCCTACATTCACTGGAAAACGGTTTTTTAGTGTCGCGAAAATGTTCCTGAATCCACTAAAACCTTACGAGGGATTTTCGCAATATTCCAGAACTTTTTTGAACCCTTTCACTGCATTCTCCACGTTCAGTTTCTTTGCTTCTTTACCGCTGGCTTTTCCTAAATCTTGGGATAAATGAAATTCTACCGCTTTGGAGTCTGCTCGATTATAATATACGCGACACCAAGAAGGCTTTCCATCCCTTCCGGCTCTGCCAGTTTCCTGATAAAATGAAGCTGGGTCTTTGGGCACGCCCCAATGCACTACAAACCTTCACGCAAAATTTATTTTAAAATAATTGAGATATTACCTTTCCTCCTACCTCACGCTGGCTTTATCCACACCCATTCCGAAACTTATAGTTGCACAGATCACAGGAACTTCGCCCTTCTGCCACATTTCCTGAAACTCCAATCGTTCGTGATTCTTCAGCCCTGCATGATAACAGAGACTTTTAATCTTCATGGAATTCAACTTCGATGCTAACACCTCCGTTTGCTCTCTAGTGCGGCAGTAGATAATGCCGCAGGACTTTTTGTCGTTTTGTAGATCCTTCTCCTTTTCAAACTGCAGAGTGGTCTCTATGAATTGCTTCAGATGCTTGAAAGGATCCGGCAATATGTTAGGAAAAAACACGTCGTAAAACAGGTTGCTTCGAAAGCAGGATGTTTTGAAAACTTTATGATCTGGAGCTAGTTTTAGGCTGCTAATTATGTCTTTAGTCACCTTCAAAAAAATTACAGTTATTGGAGCAATTTTGGGGGCTTGGTGCTGATAACGTACTTGTTTGCCAGCTGTGGCAGTGAGAGCTAGACAGGGCACTTTACAGTTCTCTCTAAGAGTCCCCAATTTGAGATAATCTGGGCGAAAATCATGACCCCATTCACTTACACAGTGCGCTTCATCTACCACGATAAAAGCAATTTTGTTGAATTTGCACAAGTTATCAAAAAGTTCCTGAAAATGAACATTAACATTTACAGATTGGATGAAAAAATTACTATGTAGCCGCTTGAAAAAACCTTGAAAGTCTTGGTAGCAGCCTGCTCTGGGGTGACATATAATAGCCTGGTATTGGGCGATGTGGATTTTAGATCAGCAATCAGTGACTCTCTTTCAGTTTTGGTTATCTTGGAATTTAGCGAGGCTGCTCGAATTTTAAGGGCCAATAATGCATCCACTTGATCCTAAAATGTTAAATTTCCAGCAATTAGCGTGAGGGTTTTTGAACTCGTAGTAGTATGCGAACCTTTATCAGAGCAAGAAGAGGAGAAAAAACAATAGTGATCATTGTATCATATAGAACTGCTGGTAACTGATAGCACAGAGACTTTCCAGAGCCTGTGGGCATGGAGACATATACATCGTGGTTTCCTGAAAACCCCATTTATTATTATTAATATTTATTTATTAGATACAATTAGCAAACACAATTAATTTTTTAAATGTGTACTCACTCTGGCAAATTTCGAGGACAGCATGCTCCTGCAATTGAGACTTAAATTTCTCGAATTTAAAGTACGATTTTAAAGCAGCAAATATTGTAGCATTATCCATGACTTTTAAATTAAAGAACAATTATTTATTAGGATTTTATCGTAAATTCTACCGGAAGAAGTCGATCTTTAACAAAAGAAAACAATGATTTGTTATGGTTTTATTGACATCTGACAGTCATTTAACTTTTTGGTGGCATTTTCAAATAATCAAGGTAATCTTTTGGTTGATTTGGCACCCCTGATGAAGGCCACATTTAAAATTTAAATGCCGTTTCAATTGTAGAATCTTTTATCTATATCTTTCATGTTTTTTGACAACAATTTGTATTTATAAAAGAAAGGCTATTGAGTTTCGTTGCTTCTCTGCCTTTTCCATTTTTTAAATATTATGAAGATGATTTTTATTATATACATGAAGAAAGGAAATTTTTTTACAGTGTTAACTTGAATACGCAAGCGAAATAAATTTATATGCGGATTTCAATGCAATTATTGGTAGCAAAATAGATAATAGGTAAGGGCAGTGATTCTTAACAGTATAGACAATCAGGGGCTAAGACAAACTTTATGTACCACATAACATTCGCCATTCCGTCAAGTGGTTTTTTTATTAACATTTTTATATCTGGTTAAATTACTTTTAAATATTTATCTTGAATGTACACGGTACGTATGGTATCAAATATCTCGCATTAATTTTGATTCCTTTCTTAGGCGGACTATTAAAATGTTCGCTCTTCTTCATATAGATTCGCGCTTAGTAAAATTAACAGTCACCTTTTTGTGAACAAGTCAGCACGAACAAAACTCGCCTTTTCGTCAGAAAATAGATCGAAGATCACAACCAGAGGCAAGGAAAAGCCAGAAACAAGCAAATTTTTATTTACTTCTGATCAGAGTTAGTTGAGTGATTTTTCAGCTTAGAGTAGAATAGAATCATCTTAAATATTTGAATGCACTTTCATAGACTCAAATGCCAGTCCTTGTTAAGGAGACGGCAAGTGCTGTGCTTTAAAATGTGCATATTGAAGAAAGGTAAATAAAAAATCCTGTTAACTTAAGAAAAAAATATAAAAAATACCGGATACATTTATAAATTGCCTACTTTCCTAAATCATCTTTCTCTTACATTAGCGGCCCATTGGATTATATTTCGTAACCCATTGAAACACCTTTAACTCGAACGCAGAAAGCAATTTAAGCTCCTTCTGCCTGTTCTGGGTATATTTTCACCCATACTCGACCGAACCGCCTGTTTCCCACTGCGCTTTTACCACTTTATGGGTTTTACGCGCCAGCCTGTTGAATTAACAGTTAGTTTGCGTTGTTCTCTCTCCGTAATCCATTGTTCGACCAGATCGTCTTCAGTCGTTGTAGAAAAGTTGAACGTATAAAGTCACGAAAAACTGATCAAAGGCACGCGGAAAAAATGCCTAATTTAAAATTCGCGTTTATTTTTTCATTGATTTTCGCTTTTGCGTTAGCTCAAATGGATGATCATCACGCCAGCCATATGAACCACGAACAGCATAGGGTGAGTTGCGCTTCCTGCCATTAGTTCGGACTATTATTATGCAACGTAACATTATCATGCCCCTTAAAGAGAAAGTGACCAATATGAAATTGGACGCGCCTATTAAAACGGCAAAATGTGAGCGGACGTTTAACGCAAAATCGATTTTAGTTTAAATTTAGAACTTGTGGCCTTAATGCGGTGAAAAGAGATTGGATGCTGTTTGTTTGCGACCCTAAAATAATAAAAACTGAATCTTTTCGGCGTTCCCGGCAACGAATAATTGAGATTGTTTCACTCAATCTCTTGTAAAATGGATTTTTCATTTAACTGAGAACAATGTATGAGGAATTTCATGATAGTTAATAATTTAATAAAATGCCTTCTCCAAGTATGACTTTACTATTTAAGGATAAATCCAGGTACAGATGAAGTATAATAGGAAATTTTTTTAGCACAGTAGATATGAGAGATTAACCAATGGCCTGGCAAACTAAAACTGATAATAAATAGCAAAAAACCTAATCCAAGAGCTGCGCTAAATGAACAGGTTTTCTAATTAATACATGAGTAACAATCTCTTTTGTCTGTGTGTTTGCCCATCTATTATTACAATGTTATAAATAAATTAGATTTCCTAGAACCAAAACTGGTTTTAAAACCCAAGATGGTTAAAATATTAATGAACGAAATCGTGGTTACATATTTTGTTTTGGTGCGGTGTATATCCTAGCTTTATTTACTGGGCTTCTTATGGGACGGTTAAATTCAAAATTGACCCTTAAAAGCTTCAGCATCCAGACTGAACCTGAGTGAAGATGCTCACCTATATAAAGCATGAACGTGGGATTTTTTAATTAACAGAATCGCGTCATGAATTAAGCTTGATAAACGCCCCCGCGAGTTACTGTAAGTCGATCGTTCAGCCGTAAAAGTGAATTTTACGGTTTAGCCAAAAAGAATTATTTTTAGTTGAAATTGTTCTAGTTTATTTGCTTGAAATTCAGCACTTAAATGTTTGAAAAAATTGAATCTTGAACTGGTTGAAGAATAGTTGATAATATCAAATACTTTAATACAGTATTTAAAAGTAGACTCTAGATCTAAACTTCTTAACTGAAAAATTTTATAATTGTGTTCGTAGTTCGTACGTTATGACAAAACGGAAATGTGGTTGCAAACAACGCAATTCTATTAAAAAATTCCATCAATCCATTAAATATAGTATTTAAAATTAATCAGCGTCGTAGATGTACACAGTTAAAAACGTTTTTAAGTAACCACTCAACTGCAGTTTAACGAAATTCAAACCTAAACTGCTCTCCATATGGGATAGGTTCATATTAACTAACATTTAACAGTTGCTAGTTACATCATTTTCCTGCAATAAGCGACGATTAACCTTTGAATTGACCTTACAAAGTTAGCATCTAATTTGGATGGATCATTTTTGTCCCTATTAAATTCCCCAAGGCAGGTACTAAATGCTCATTTCTCCGTGGTGTTTTCTTTGCGAATTCCGCTCATGTCTCTAAAGCTTCCTGCATCTTATTCTTGCGTGTAGGGAATACCAATAAAAGCCAGGGTTTAATTTGATTATATTCAAGGAAAAATCGAAAGAACAAAGGTAGAAGAAGAATTACTATCAATACTTTTTAGTCGAAACATCTGTACGTGCGTCAGGTTTTAAAAGGACTATATTTAGCGGCATCACATGTTGACAAACTCTGCAAAATATCGCGTTAATTACATCGGATTTTTTATTAATTGGCCAATTAAATTAAACATGTCCGCCAAGTATTTCATTCTTAATATTAACAATGAAAGCAAAAGTTTAATTGTAAATTACGTGCAAGTATATTTTTGTTTAAGAACCAGAAATCTGATTTTCCGCACGTTTTTCACTTGAAGTGACTACAATTAAATTTGTATTCAGGATTACATAAAGTTAAATTTACTTGTTTGTAATTGTTGAGTTCCACTTGCTTTTCTATTCCTGACTTTAGAACTTATTATTTTTTATCATTTGCTTATTTAAAGTCAAGTTTTCGTTCGGAAACAACCAGAACCATTTCCAACGTCAAATATTTGCTTGCAAGCAAAAAATACATACATTGTAATACAAGCAGGTTAATTAGCGTTTTACCTATACGCATTTCCTGTTATCAAAGGTTTGCCGGGAATCTAACGAGGTTAAATAATGCAATAAAAAAGGTGTATTCTAATAGAGAAGATCTGCCGGCTATTTATTGACCTAAAAGCCAGAACGGAATGATTTTATAATTTTCGCAAAGTCAATTAGAAATTGCGTTGAAAAATATATTATTCCGATGGCACATAAAGTCAGTGTTAATACAGCTGAATACGCATGGTTTAAGCCCGAATTGGAATCAATTAAATTTTACCATTGAATACCTAATCAGCAATACGAATTAATTATTTCCAACTTTTTAGCATTGGGTCGCACTTTACAGTGATTCGGCGCTTAATTTTTGTTATTTATTTGTTAATCAATTATCTACTTCGCAAGAAAAGTTACCAAATCGAATATAAATGTCCAGAATAGGTAGTAAACAGTATTTTAATAACATTTGGTAAAACACAAAATGAATGGTTTTTTTCTCATTGTGGTAATGTGTTTTTTTAGTAGGAAAACTAATAAAACATCTAACTGGACAATTGAATTGCTAGCGCAAGGCATAACTAACTGTTAACTTTTGCGGTGAGATTCTTGATTTCTTTGCGTTAGAATGCCGCATGATTTGCCCGAATAAATAAAATTGCAGTTATTGACAAAGCGCAATGAACAGAACGAGTTGTTTCCATCACCAACCCATGTTTACATTGACTACTTTTCCTTTTTATCCATATTGAAGCAAATATTTGTTGTTGTTTTTTCATTATCTACGTCTCACTTGCAACCAGTGGTGATAATACTCAATATGACCACAGTTTCGATTGAAACAATGACTAATGGTGACCGTAGCAAAGTTTTTTTTTATCGGCCATTCAGTTAAGAATACTGCTTGGTATATTTTTAAAACAACATTGATAATGAAAAACGCATTTATTCACGGCTGGGGAAAAAATGTTTCTGATGCAAATTTTTTAAATTAGAAATGATTGTTCAGTTATGGCAGGACAATTAATGCAGCTGGAAAAATCTCCCATAAACTCAAGTTAGTGTAGCTGATATAAACGGAATGAGATGAAAGCTGCATACATTAGCCATCAGGAATAATAGAAAGTTTTATGATTTTTGCAGATTTTTACATTCTCTCAATTCGGTTAATTAAAAAACGTTACGTTGGAATAGTGAGTGGTTAAACTGGGAAAAAGAGAATACACCACTTAGATATAAAGATTATTAAAAGTTCTGTGTAGAAATGGTTCTGCTATATTCATAATGGAAAAGGCAATAAACAATTTATTTCCCTCTATTATAGGTAAATGTAGCAGTCTACTACGAATCACTCTGCCCAGATTCGAGAAAGTTCTTCACCCAGCAACTCTACCCGTCTTTGCAAGGAAACTTATCAAATTTCGTGAACCTGACCTTGGTACCATATGGCAAAACGAAAGTAAGTATGACTGAGAAGACGATTTAAAATAGCCAAATCGGCTTTGGCATTCGCGAATTTCAAGAACGGAACGGATTATTAATAAACTCCAACTATTACGAAGCTCAAATAAACAATTTCTTGTCATAAAATTATATTTGAAGATTTTAGTCATCATTGCTGTTTTCCAGGTCATTCAGCAATCATTTTCCATTAATTATTTAACTGCAAAAGCTTCTTTTATCTGATTTTGCTTCGTTATATAATTTACACCCGCAGAATCGATTTCCAAATGGCATAGAACATGAATAGGTTTTAATTACCAGGTGGCAATTTTGCTGAAAGCTTGAATTGGCTTTTCAATTAAAAATCGCCCTTCAAATGAGTGCCAGGTGGGTTTCCCATACAAAAACTATTGATTTTCCTTTCGGGCTTTTTTAATCGAAAAATACAATTTCCTTTAACAGTTTTTAACGATTTATCAACAGAACGTGCTTTTCATAATGATGATAGCACAACCCATAAACGAGTTGTTGCAGATTGTGGGCACCAGAATTAATTTACCATGTGAGTCCATAACTCACTTACCTTAGCGTAATTTATACCATTGTTAGAATAAACTGATGTGACTGAAAATATCAGTGGCATAAATAAATTCCTTTTGCTTAAGGTCATCAGATAAGATTTTCAATTTAACAGAATCATACTCAAGAGCACGTTTTTTATTAAATCTTGGTTGCTCATTTATTCAGAAAATATTCGTGCAAACATCAGTTGAACAAAGCACAATGTATTGCTTTAAAAAAGGAAGCAACATGCTAGATATAAATTATTCTCTTTCTAACAACTTCATTTGGTGATCTGCCTTGTTTCGCTCATGACAAAAATGAATTTGCCTTACTCATATATGGCTCAGCATCAAATTTAGACGGTATAGATACAGTTTGAATGGAATTTTTGGCAAAAATGTAAGGCTTTTTATTCGGGTTTCTAATAAGGGCACATTTGATGTAAACCTTCCATATCTTTTGGGAAATGGAACGGGGAAAATTTTTAACTAAGTAAGGGAACGTTTGATTTAATTGTTACGAAATGTTTAGAAGCAGCGCAATAATTGCGATACGATGTTTCTTAAGCAAATTATAAGATAATTTTTTTAATAAGCACGCAAGAGTTAAAAGGTCTTCAACTAATCCAACTTTTAAGCAGGTTTATAAATCATATGAAAAGACCTGTAAATGGCGGCGATTTAAACAAAATACAAGCAAAACTTAATATCTTGCAACCAACTAGAGTTACATGTAGATCTAGGGCTGGTTTGGTTCCACTTGGCCCAGTTCCACTCACGTTAGGTAAAAGGCCAAATTACTGTTAACGTACTACGTTGTTTGTTTCTTGCCTTTAATTAAACCAAAACTTAAGCCTGTGAAGCGTAAACTGGATTACATTGTTCCAACGTACTTCCAACACCGGTTAAACGAGATCGTTTTCAACCTTCACCTGGTCATCGCAATCGCAACTAGTTCGTCAACATCCGTGAAGCGGCTGTTCTTATTTTAACATTTAAGAATCATATGAGAAGATTTGAATAAGAAAATATACAATATAACTCATACACTCGTTCAAATTGATTATAAACTGCAAGCCTTTGTTAGTTTCCCTTGTTTCGACCAGGGACCAACTTCAACCCACCAGACGAGTCAGTGAATTTTCAGACTAAATATAGCAATCAAATAATTTAACGTTGATTGAGACGAGGATGTGACTAAGATGGCACTTAAATAAAAAGTCTGCTAGAAAACCCTCAAGACTGATTTAAAAAATGTGTCCTTTCATGCAAAACCGTGTAGAATGCAAGCAGTTTTCAGCACAGGCATTGATAAATTAACTGCCAATAAACATCTAATTTTCTCCTAACAGATGTTGCTCTTAAAGTATGCTATATTGATTGCCAACGCGCTAATTGAGTGCACTTGCGATATTCTGCCTCGATGGCTGTTCACTTAACACAAAACCCATAATGGGCAAATCAAATAGAAAATATCAGTTGAGCATCAAATGAAATATCATCAAGGAATGGGCCGTAGGTAACTTGCATGCTTAATAATTTCGCTACGAATAAGTAGGCTCTTAGTTGACTGACCTCCCATGGATTGTGCAAACATTACAACTTCTTCACATTAAATTTTTTGCAAAGGACGCTAAAATTAATCGATACCTAGATAAAGACTAGGTAGCTGTTTCATTTATTGTTGCTTAAGTACCCTCATTAATTCGTTGTAGGCTGGATTCACACATGCAAAATTATATTGACTGTATAGGAAAATGCCGATAGCCACTTTCCCTTTATTTAATCACCATCCAACTAGGATGCATTAAATTTAAATTGTTGAACCGATTCTGCTCAGTGATTTGTATAATATCCGCCCTAGGCTTATATAAGTTAATAAGCAAATTTCCCGTAATTCAAGTGCTACTTTTCATTTCATAAAAGGCTCAGTGAAGCTAAATAAATTGAAATGCAAAATTTGTTTTTTAGATGAACTTCGTCACTAACGAGTACGAATTTGAATGCCATCATGGACCCAAAGAGTGTGAGGGAAACAAAATTCAGGCTTGTGCCTTGAAGCTGATTGACGGAGGAAGGAAAACCGAGGGGATTGGATTCAATAAGTAAGTGGCCAAAGTGAGGCTATTAAACTACTTAAATTGTCTTCAAATTAGAGTTACCGTGGGCTTCATCAACTGCCTGATGGACAAAACTGAACGGAAAGGCAACGACGCCACTTTCCCAGTGAAAGACTGCGCGGAAATCAACCACGTTAATAACTTGAATATCATTGAAAATTGTGCTGGGCATACTGATGGTAAGTGGGCATGTTTCCCTATTGCAGCAGGTATTCATGCGCTGTTTTTCAGGATCAAACTACCTTGCCAACTTGGGCGCTCTGACTAAAGCCGTAGCTGATCCATTGGCGTCCGTACCAACAATTGTTTTCAACCAGAATTTCAAATCCGAAGACAACACTCTAGCTCAGACCAACTTTGTGAAAGCTTTGTGCCAGTACATCCAAGGAACCAAACCCAGCGACTGCAATGGTGCCAGCAATATTCAAATATCTTTGGGGTTTCTAGTTGTTGTTAGCTTTATCGCAAAACTATTCAATTAAGTACATGAAAATTTCTCAGGGGTGCTATCGTATGTACAGAAAAATCCCGACTTTAATACTCCTAGAACCCATACTAATAAGAAACTTGTACTTTAAGATAATACTGTACTTACTATGTGAATGGCGTTTCAAGTTTAAGGCAAAACCTACCAATTAAAGAGCGTGTTGCCATAAGAATCATTGCAAAACAGTGGCGGCTAGTTAGAGGCCGCGCATAAATAAGAATTTTACAATTCGCTTTTTTATTTCATTGACCTCACATAAAACATTATGATTTTTTTACAAACTTCTTTTTGGGTATTTTGCCTCAAAAATTTTTGTCTTTAAAAAAGACAGAATTTCCTCACGTCTTTTATTACAGATTGATA